GGATCCCAAAGACTGTATATTTATTATAATAACACTATAATAAATAATATACTAATATGAAATTAACAATAATGAGAAAGTACTTACAAATTCACGTGGTCCATAATTTTTACTCTTATATAAAACAAAAACATTATTTACACCACTATTCAAGTTTTTACATTCAAAAGACAAAATGTGAGTGTGGAAACTGTGGAGGTAATATAATTTAGGTAGTGTAAATTTATAATATGTATATTGTGTACATATAATATTATTATTGAAAAATATAACTTGAATTTTTAGACTAACGCGGGTTATAATATATAATAAGATCGTATTTGTTTTAAAATTCAAGCATGTGACACAATTTATAGTTTTTAAATATATTTACTGTTTATATAAAGCTATATTTATTTATTAAATTTTACTGCAGAAATATTTATTTACTCTGATACAGGAAAACCTAAACTTATCTGAGATCTGAACATTAAACTGTATTTTTATATAATTAAAATTGAATGAATCATAATTATTGTTTTTGTTTAGTGTGTACGTACTAACATTTTTATATCAAATATTCACTCTAACTCTATTATTTTAAATTTGTTTTTCAAGTTTATGCCAAAAATATACACACTTAATAATTTTGTGGTTTTGAAATATTTTATTTTTTCTCGTCTTCGATGTTCAATGTTTGTAACATAATATTATGAAACTAAGCAAGCAATTACGTATCAAATTTGTAAAAACTCAGCACTCGATTGTATTTTAATTTATGATTTTTTTTCAATGTATTATGAAATTTTTATAGTACCTCATTATGTTATATAAAGACTTAGATAAATTAATTACATATAGCTTTATTAATCAAACTTAATTATAGTATTTAATTTTGATAATATAATAAAATTGCACATGACGACGCACGGTACACCTGTATCAACCTTTAATTTAAATACCAAACGCTTAAAATATATACCTAATTAATATTTATAGTAATGAACTTATACTTATAGAACATATTGTAAAATAATCAAATAATTTAGACCAGATATTTTATATTACAGTTTTTAGAGTACCTTATACATAATACATATAGACATATATGTATAAATAATTAATTCTAGGTTGTTTATAAATAAGACAAATACAGGTGATTCTAAAATATAAAACAAAGTATTATTATCATATTTATGGCTTTTACTTAATATAGGTGTAGTAGTTTTATCGGTTATTTATTGTTATTAGCGTAATTTTTGGTTACGTTTTAGTCTTATTACATACAGTTAAGACTTGTTTGTACAACATATTAAGGTTTATGGGTGTATAAATGAAATGAAAATAATAAATATTTATTGTCGATTATTGTACACATTATTTTTCATATTATTGTTATCTGTTTGTTATCTTCAACAGATGAAAGTTTAGCGATGTGTATACGTATTTAAGCCCGAAGGATTTAGAGAATATTAGTGTATTATATTATATACATATATCCATAGTTTGGTTATAATATTTAGTGTGATTAGTGTGAGGCGTATAATGATGAGTCAAATAGTATTAGATCGTGCTAGTTTGATATATGTATTTTGTGTAAGTCATTGTAACAATATTGCATTATCATTATAATAATATATATAAACTTGTCGTTGTGTGGTAATATTTAAACGCAACAGGAATCTCTAAGCGACTATACATTGTATAAGAACCGTACTCGAAATCTCTGCGTTGAGTACCTATTGACTATTGGCTGTTATTGATTTTTTAAATTAATAATATTGGCAATTTATATGCATACACATTTAGTTATTGGACATTAGTATAATTATATGACGGCCGTCGCCGAAAGCATTAATAATTATTTACCTACTATACTCCACACTGGCTGCAGAGGTAAAATGCGCTATACGATATATTTATCTGTGTTTTGTCGTAATCAGTCTTAATGAAATTCTTTGTTCAAAGATTATGTACTTTTGAGTAAAATTTAGGTGACATTACTTGTGAAATAGTTGGTTATATAGTTTTATGACACAGGTCTGTCATCATTACGGTTGATGCTTTCAAACTCTTTAATATAGGAGCACATAAGTTTTTATAAGTCACTTCTATTTGACATTTTGCAGCAGTACACGCTTTTTTTTACGATACAGTATATTATAGATATTGATGTAATAGCTAACTATTAATCATTACGTAGCGACCGTACTGCAATATTGGTTTTATACCCTAAACGAATTTATATTTTGGTGCCATTCACTGGAAAATGTTTTACGACGGTTTAATTGTTATTTTTATTAGTTAACAGTTCATTTTGATGGACATATAATTTTAGTGATTGGTGACCTAAATAACACATTGTGAATTATATATCAGTTAGATTATAAACTTATACTAGTCTAGTGACGTATACATCACTTTTGTATGAATGAGAAGGGAGGAATGTAGATCAATGGAAAACACATCAACGTACTAATTATAGATAGATCATTTTTGTTTTGAAGTATATTATTTTCTTAATCCTAAAAATTTAGTTGAGATAGCCTACAAGTTCAAAAGCTTATAGCCTGATGATGTTATAAATTACTATGTTAGAATCTATAACTTATATTATAAAGACATAAAGCGTGTAATTATTGCATTAAATGAAATTCTTATATTGCCATGTTAATTATAGGTACGGGTATTAGTAATATATTATAATATAACACGAATAATATGTATTATAATGAGATAACAATAATTTTTTTATGAATATGAACTTAAACAAATAAATATGAAAATACTTTATTTTTAATCTTTTACCAAAAACATTATACCTAATAACATAAAATGTCTTTATATTGATTATATTTATACATTAGCTATTGAAAGTTAGTACATTTTTTCTGTTGTTTGATTGCTGATGGTTGATCATACTGATGCAAAATTACATTAGATCAGAAATATCTACTTTAAAGCAAAAGAAATTTTTTTCTAGTTTAGATATTTTACTATGATTGTATAATTACTTATAACAATAACCGTTATAATTGTGAATCAAGTCTTCGACAAAAATAAAATTTTCTCTTTGTATCTATTCGATCTACTTGGGTAAAAATTACTTTTAGTTATTAATTATTATTCTTTTACAAAATATCAGAGATGTTTTGAATCAGATGCTTAATGTTTTAAAGCTAGTGCTACAGAGCGTCATTTTTCTGTAGTAGAGTTGTATTAATATATGAAATCCAGAAACTATAATATAATATATTTAAATTATTTCATATTTTACAAATTTTAGACAGCTTTGTGGAGTTACCTATACCTTAAATATAAAATTTGAAGTGCCAGTAAACAACATTATGGGTACCTAGGAGATACCTATTTTTGTCTGTTGTTTAAATTAAACTGATCACAAGTTATTGAAAAGTAAGTTGCAGTTTCGCAGAAAAAAATAAGATGTATAGGTACTCAAAAAATTTAATTAAACAAGAAATGTATACAATATAGTCAGGGCTCAAGTAAAAGTCGACCGTATTTCAGAAATGTCAAACGAGATTTTAATATATTGTAATCCTATAATTTATTAATAATTCACAAACACTGGAACGTTTACAGAAACACTATCATATATAAATAATATTATTTACCTATTGTTTATTAAAGCGTAGTATGTTATGAACATAACTACATTATATTATATGTCATTTATTAATATGACCGTATTTTGTAAACTGCAATAAATAGATGAATCGTTTGATTTATTTATTAGAGTTAATTGATACAATGGTAACTAAACTTTTTTTAATCTTAAATTAGTTAATTAAAATACTAAAAGAAAAAAAATTTTAATTGAAAATAAAGGTTTTTCTATCTCGTCAACACAAAATATAATTTAAAACGTAATAAAATCTAATTCAATCATTAAAATGCATATTTAAAAATAAAAAACGTTTTAAAACATATCAAAATAAAATGGAGCATTAATATGCGGAGTTCGAATTGGGAACACAATTTACCATAAAGAATTGAGAATTTTATTTTAAGACAATATAAAAGTATATTAAAACATCTTATGTTAGCAATTCGCTATTAATATAGAGCATACATACGTGGCTACGTGAAAAGTCTGGCACAACTCATAAACAGATTTTTCTTTCGGCCTTAGACTCATAAGAATGTTACCTACATCTTACATAATATACTTAGACGCATATTATAGTATTATAGTACACTACGTCATAATGATTGTCTTTTGTCGTAGGCGTGTATTATAATTATATTTTTTTGTTTAATCGTTTAAGATTATCAAATCGCCGAGACAGTTAAATAATTCAACAAATGGATAGAATAATCGAGAGCCCTTGGCGTATCAATAAACTAAACTGCGTTTTACAAAGTTGCACTGCATCTTGCAGACTGCTGCCGGCGGCCAATTAATTATCACTTGTTCCAAACTGGGCCTGCATTTTGATGGTACACACAAATTTTCGCGTTTTGTCGGAACCATCAGAACTTGGCAGCGCGAGTGTAAGAAATATACCTACATACATGTGTTTATATTATAAGGCATTTTAAATATTATTATCTGATTAATGAATAATCATAACAACAACAACAACAACAACCGAACCTAAGTACCCATGTAATACAGTAATAATATAATAGAAAAAAAATATGGCGAACGTTTGAGAATTATTATATAGGAAGCGCATTCGCCGGAAGGTGGATCTTAACGCTGTTGGGGAGGTACTACGGCCGCACCGTATATGGTCAAGTTTGCCTAATTTGGCTCGGGCAACTCTTCTAAATACGGCAAGTAAGGCGGCGGGGGAGGTCGCGGTGGCCCGGGAGAAGGGGGCAGCACGAAATAATATACAATGTAATAATAATAATAATAATAATAATAATAATAATAATAAAAATAATAATATACGATAGCGCTCGACCGCCGTCCGCGCCGCCGTTACCACAACCGTTCGACCGACAGCGACTTCGACCGCGGTCCGACGACACGACTCGTTTTCTACGACGACGACGACCGTAGTGTGTAGTGGGTATTATAGTACGCACGTCTTGCGCCATTCCGTCGTCTACACATGGACGTGTCACACGTGTAGTTTGTGCCCGCGCTGCACACCGTAACGACTTAACGCGCCTTATCGTTTTTTTTTTTTTTTTTTTTATCGACATTATAAAAAGGATTTTACGACGGAAAATTCGTCGTCGTGCGACACAACAATATTATACCGTCATCGATTATAATATATAAATATATTTAAAAAAAAAAAAAATTACATTTATATTTTTTGATTTTTACGCGTGTTCTGTGTTCGTCTGACATTGTGTGCGGGAGGCTGCAACAGTGCCGCGGCGATAAACGCTGTCCGCTGATTCCATCGCGTATTTGCGTGCACCTATTTAAAATACTCGTACGCCGCGGTGTATGTATATTATAATAAAATATAAATATATGAAATAATCGACGACCATCCGGCCCGGAGCACCGCCGCCGAGAATATTGTGTACAATTTTTTAAAATTTTTAAAAATAGAAAAACCGCGCGGCACATGCGCCACGAGTTCTATTATTGTACGGACGCAGGTCGAATTACTCGTACTCGTGCCGTGGCGGGAGGGCGACTGTGGAATTCAACACGACGACGACGACGGCATAACCGTTCGTATCTTCACCGCAGTGGCAACAGCACACCGCCGGTGTCACGCCGTTATCAGTGCCGCGGCCGTTGTTATCAGTGACGTTTGTTTTCGTTATTTTTGTTAAAATTTTCTATTATTGTTGTTCCCGTGTACCCGTACCCCCGAAGTCCTAGGTCTCTCGCGGACCCCAAGTAAAATCACGTCCCAGTCCCGGTCCCTCCCCTCCCCTCCCCCCGGATAGGAAAACGCGAGTGAGTCGTATCGTACTCGCCGTTTTCCGCGGTCGGCCGGCGCTGACCGTATCGCGTGTGCGTGCAGTGCGTGGATGACCAGTCGTAGGCGGTCAAGTGCATGAGGTGGACAGCGATGGACAGTGCGTCTGGCGGTGGCGGCCGCGACAATAGATTCGGCATGGGTTACGCGTCGAACATGTCGCTGTTGGACCCGTCGGACATTTACAACAACGGCGTCGGCGGCCAACAGCAACGGCCGTCCACGTCGCGCACACCGCCCATGATGGGATGCGGTCCCGGCGGTCCTGTTCACCAGCGCGGCATCAAGCGAACGATGGGCCCCGGCACCAACATGTGCTACGAACCGACCGACCACCATCGGTTGGTCGACGACAATTTTTCGCCACCCTCCGTCAAGGACGTGTCGCCGTCGAACGGCAAGAAAACCAAGGGCCGTGTGAAAATCAAAATGGAGTACATTGAGAATAAGTTGCGCAGATACACAACGTTCTCCAAGAGGAAAACCGGCATCATGAAGAAGGTTAGTGTTGAGAATTCGTTAAATCCGCCGACGTGCAGCACTCGATTCCATTTTGATTATCTATAGGTACCTACATACTCTGTGGACGATTGGATTGTCTGTTGTATACTCACTTGTCCTTTATAAAAAAATCATTAAAATTCTCAATCGCCAGTAATTTTGATTGCTCTCCCCCTAGGATTCAGATTTTTGTAGGTATTACATTTTTATTTGTTTATTGATTTTTATCGAAGTAAATATTTTACTTGCAATCGATTCACGTTAAAACGATAAATTTGTATATGAGTTTATTAATGGTCATTTTTATTTTAAATTTCTTGCGTGTTATCTGTTTTTGTAATTATTGGCGTTAGTGTATTAACATAATTAAAAATTAAGTATTGTATTTGTTGATATACCTATCTGTCATATGATTTATACCTATTATATTACTTTATGAGAATGAAATCCGGAATAAAATGACCTTCATACGATTCAAATTGTCAAACAGATGGTCAATTTCTTCTTTATCATATTTATAATTTTTTTTTTCAAAAGCTTAAGTATTTTAAAATATTTATATAAATACTCATGTTTAAAATAAAATTACAATTCAAAATAATGATAAAAAATGACATTTTAACCAACAGATGTGTATTTCAACTCATATGTTTAGACCACCATCTGTAGCAAATAAGCTTTAAATAGAAAAAAAACATATTTTTAGTTGGAATAATTCTTAGTAGATGTATTTTTTTATTTTTTTTTATTAAGAACTTATTTGTTACTAGATTTCTACCTATATTTAGTATATTAGCTTATAACTAAAAAGTTATAGTTATAGTTTTTAAGTATGACACTAGTTTGCAGATTTTTTACATTTCAGTACTTCTTTTGTATCTATTTAATATAGGTATATTTTTAAAGCTTATTACTCATGTAATCACAAAAGTAATGAACTAAAAAATACCCGTAGAAATACTTAATATCATAATTTTTATCATTAAAATATTTAAAAACAAACTTATTACTCGAGTATATTATGTTATAGCAAGTATAATTTATTTCTGATAAAACTTTAAACATACATTTGTTATTCTAATAAATATATTTTTATAAATCAGACATATTATATTTACTCTGATATAGGAATGGTTTTTTTTTTCTTGAATTTAATTGAAACTAATATTATTTATTGTCTTGTATTGATAGACAATTTGATTGGTTAATAGATTTTTTCCTTATACTTAAATTAATTATTAATATTTTCTATCATGATAATAATTTAATATAATATAGTGATGTAATTGTAATATTCTGTAGATAGTCTTGTAGAGAAATTTGTTACTTTTATAGTATTCAATACCGTTAATTAATTTTAAATGTTTCAAAGTCAATTGAATAATAATTTCCAATAATTAAAATTTGTATTTTTTGTATTAAAAAAGTGTATATTATAATCTTATTCAATGTAATATTCAAATCATTTATATGTATTTGACATGGATCATGAATAATAATTATAGTTTTATTTTTTATAGAAAGATCATATTATTATTCAATTTTAATACAATATTTATTTACCTACTTTTTATAAATAAACGTACAAACTCAATCTGGCCATTTAATGTCTATTAACTAAACATATAAAATCTATTAACTTGATTGTAAAATGTATTAGATATATTTATATTATTACAGTTTGTCTATTTATTGTATCGTACTTAATAATAAGAACTCCTGAATTCTTGATAATATTACTGTTAATAATTGAACTGGGTGGTATCAAATATAATATTTATTTTAAAATATTGTGTTACCTGAATATTTGCTTAAATTATTTCTTATTTTTTGATTTATTTTCACCACAATTATATGATTGTTTTTTTCTTTGCAGGCATATGAGTTGTCAACGTTAACAGGCACTCAAGTGATGTTATTAGTAGCATCTGAAACGGGACATGTTTATACCTTTGCCACGCGCAAGTTACAGCCGATGATTACTTCAGAAGCTGGCAAAGCGCTAATTCAAACATGCTTAAATTCACCAGACCCGTGTCCGTCCTCATCGGGTGCAAACTCAGGAGACCAACGCATGTCAGCAACTGGATTCGAGGAGACTGATCTGTCTTACAACATTGGTGACGACCACGATTCCAAAGTAAGGCAGTTTGTGTACGGCCAACAGAGTCCTGTCCACCATCCACACCATCAGCAACACCATCCCCAACACATCATGGCCATGTCCCCGCCTGCTCATCTCATACCCTCATCTAGTCCCAGTCCACTGATGCACACAGCCAACTATCAGCAACAGTGCACCTCCCCGCTGCCACTACACCAATATCCTCACATGGCATCCCATTCACACAACCAACGGTAATGTTCAGTCGAACCAACATTGATGGGATAGAAAATTTTAAATAAAAAAAAAATAAATAAAAAAAAATAGACTGAACTATTTTATGTCTGTACAAGTAAAACTATTTTATAAGATAATATGCAATTACCATGCGATTATCCCCGGCAATGGGTTCAACCGAACATTGTCACGCCAACTTATACAGCGTAGGCAAATCCTATTCGTCCACGTTTGATTGCAGTGTGTTTTGCTTTGTGTGTTATGTTTTTTTTTTTTTATTTTTTTTTTGCTGTGTTGTAGTTTATAAATATATTATAATATATAATAATATGAGCTTAAATAAATCGCTTCTACTACAACTCTACTACTGCCGGGTCGTGTTCAAAATCAAAACTACAATTTTTTTTTTATCATCACCGTCCCGAAAGTTTTTTTTTTTGTTAAAAGATGTATAATTTTTAACGGCGTTCCGCTTTCGGTGTCCTGCAACCCTGCATGGTGTAGTTAAACGTTTGTTCGAATTTAATTTGAGGGATGTGGGGAAGGGGGAATACAAATAATATTAATCGTCGATGACGGACATTTCTTTCAAATATTTATGTACATCGCATTGCCGTCTGGTCGTTCGCGGGATGACGTCTGGTGATGAATATAAAGGGTTCACCCGCTGATTGGTCAATTATCGTCGTTATCGTCATTTTTATTATTATTATTATTATTAAAAAATATTAAAACAGTCGGCTGGTCATGCGGGGGCGGTAGTGGCGGCGGGCACGTGCGTAGGCGGCGGCGACGGCTGGTCGCAATGATGATAGTATTATGCCTACGCGCGTGGACCGGTTGCTGCAGTGGCTGCGACGGCGACCTAGGCGATTGCTACGCGTTTTTCCCGGGCGGTTTTCGCCGACACCGCTGCCCCATTTGGTTTTCCCACGGGATTAACTGGCACGGATCACCATGGATTTATTACGTTTCACGATAATCGAAAAAACCGGACCTCGCCGTATTGTACCTACCTTTATAATGATAATATAATAAAGTGTAATAATAATATCGACTACGTGCCTGGGATCGGTAAACAGCGGCGCGGCATCGGCGGTGCGTAGGTCGTGAGAACGGCGGCAGCGGGACGCTGCGATCGCGTAACGATTAAGAAACTGATAGAGAATAAAAAAATTAATAAATAATCGTGAATATAAAAAAAAAAAATTGCAGTTATCGGTAATCATGTGTAATTACGCGTATTTATTAGCTCTCTCTCTCTCTCTCTCTCTCTCGTTTTGTACTCCTGTAAATATTAAACTATTTTGTTTTTTTTTTTTTATATATAATAATATATAAAGTATTATTTTTAGTTATTATTTTGTACAAAAAAAAACAAAAAAATCGAATCGTTGTATATTATATATTTATTATTTTTCGTATATATATTTTATATTTTTAATTTATTATTGTGGTAAGATATTTTAGAGAAAATTCTATGTATATATTATAATATAATATATACACACATTTTTGTACGTTTAAGAGAGAAAATAAGAACAGTGTCTTTATTAACTTTATATATAATCGTTATTGTCGATAACAAAATACGTCATTTGGTCTAGTCCGAATTTTTATTATATAGGTGTTACCCTCACATCATTATAATATATATATACCTACTATTATAGACCATTGTTATCAAGTCTGTGATATTTATCGGTAAAATAGTTAATTGTAATATTATACATATTCGCTACAATATACGTCGTGCGTCGCACATATATTTATTATATGTCGTTACGATCAACTGTGAGTACATATATTATAATATGTTATTTAATATAATATTTATATATTATTATAAACGATAATAAAACGAAAACTGACTATATTGAAATGTTTTAAAATTGTATCTCCCTGCCGCGTCCACTTCTCAGCACTGTCCATCGTGGCCTCGTATACGTTTTAAAAGTAATAATATTCTTTGAAAAAAAAAAAAAAATGATTATAAAGAATCTACAACGCTTCTCAGCTGTACTACGAATTGAGGTTTTATAATAACGATCGAAAGAGTTTCGTACGTGCGGTATGACAAAAACTCGTTAGGAAATCGGAAAAATGACGTGTATATCGGCCGCGCAACTTTATTTTTTTTCGAAATTTTGGGCGTGTGATAAGACGTGGGACGTAGTCGTCATCGCCGCCGTCGTCGGTCGTTTCGCGCGCGCCCGTGTGTGTCTGTGTGTGTGTTTGTATATAATACACCTAAATTCATATTATATACGAGTATGTACACATTTTTACTCTTTAATTTCGTTTCCCAATTCGCAGTGGCGACCCGTCGATACACAGACTCGCACACGCCTCACGATCGTAATACAATAATAATAATATATGCGTATAGAAGGCTACACACACATACTCTTATTCATGTCCGATATTATTGTCGCCCACTACCGGTGAGTCCGTCCGCACAACAATAATTACGTGAGCGCCGCAGACGCCCACCAGCGCGCGGGCCGCGTCGACGGGAAGTTTTCAAATAGTGTGTTACACTTGAAACCAGTGTGCCCACACGCGGTGAAAAAAGGTTTAGCCCACGCGCGACCGACCGGAGAGCGCGCGTTGTGAAACGTTTTTCGGACGTGCCGTGGTTTTTCGCTTTCGTAGAGCGCCGTTTCCGGCCGAAACTCCGGGACAGAACCGGAAACGGCGGATTTTTTGGAGCGGCGAAACGTACGCGCGCGGATCTCTCGTCGGAAAAGCCGACGGGAAGACGGGCCCGAAACCGACCAGATGTTCACGTCCCATGTGTTTAATACTCCTACTGCTCCACACCTCGCTGCTCGCTGCTGCTGCTGCTGTTGCACCGCCCCGGAGCGGTTTTTTCTATTATTATACGCGGTTTTTTCTATTATTATACGCACAGCATATCATAATGTATTAATATAATAATATGTGTCTGTAACTTAACGCGCGTAAAATATAATATCACGATGATAATTTGTAGGGAAACGGCCGACGTGTGCAACAGGTGCCACGCCGCGCGACTGTAGATGACTCCTTAGCTGTTGCGCGCGCGGCGGAAATGCGCATTATGGCCGTCGCGTTGTTGTCATTTTCAAGCGTGTGCGGAATATCGTATTATAATATTGTAGAATAATATTACATTAATGATTATATTTACAATAGGCATAAAGTACTACGTGAATAAGAATTTCGGGCCGGACACTGGTTCTTCCTGCTCTTCGTCGCGGCAGTACACAGCTAAAGCTTCAACAGGAAACCCAGGTTTCCAACCGTGGCTGGGGGAGGGGGTTCACCAAAATCGTGTAGATATTTCAGATAGGTAACTAATTCGCTGCTGTGAGGTCATCTCGATATCGATGGGCAAATTCGTGCATAGTACATTTATGTATAAAAAAAAAAAACGATGCTATGATGTACAAACGGGGAAAATATATATACAAAATGGCGAATAATTAAATTAAACCGTTGTCGTATGATGTATGACGTTCAACGCACACGCACCATACACGTAGGTATTATTATTATTTATTATTATATAAATACTGGTCTTAGAAAATCATAATAAATAATATCAAATGGCAGGGCGATGGGAGTGGAGACATTATGATATATTATTTTATAATAATGAAAATAAAAAAAAATCATGAAATCCGATACCATCTTGTTAGGTTCTTCTGACTCGTTTTTTGAGGGCTAACTTTGTAAAAACCACATTATATTTATCTATAAACATTGCTACGTGCGGAACCGCCGAATTTTGAAATACCAAATATCGATGACATTTTTAGAGTTACCCATCATCCACACGTGTACATGTCGCAAACTATACGTCGGATCTAGAATAATTACAGGTGTGGCAGATTCGACTGTATCAAAGTGTATTATAATATACAAACAGAATTTTGGCGCAATTGATGATTAGATAAAAATATCAGTTCATTTTTGATGTGCGTTCTGTTTACAGACGTTTGCGAGGCTACGAACAAAACACTTACCTAAACCTAAAAAGATATACTTTACCAATTTACCGGTTTATCTTTATATTTTAAACTTTACGACCGAACAATGTATGCCATGTAACTTATAACGACCTGAGAATTATGCAGTACCGAGCGTGTACGAATGCTTATGTATGATGTTTAGTGTTTAGTTGACCGACGCAGTTGTATGCACGTAGACTACACCGAGACTTAATGTATCATATTATTATATCCACTCGCCGTGTAGTAGTTGTAGGTGCCTATGTATTGCTATAATTTGGCCTTATAAAGGTGAGTTTTGGTTGTTTTTTGACTTTGAGTGCATTTAGTCTCGCACATTGCACCTTGCATCATGAGCTTTTCGTGTTTTATGTGTACATGCAATAGGTGTTGCACATACACACACGCACACACATACATTTATATGTACGATTGACACAACGGTGTCGAACGATTTTCATCTTTATTATATGACTCGACACCGCAGGTAAGTACGCACTATATAACGTCTATAACCTTATATTTTATTATATTATTTATTATCTGCTGTACGGCGCGTGCAATGACGATTTTGACGTCTCGCATAATTATTACACCATATATTACACGTATAATTTATTTATTTATTTATCGTTACACAAACGAAATATCGCGTTGCACCGTTGTACAATCATAATTCATAACCGACTATACCCGTGTAAATGTTTAGAAAACACGTTCATGTGTATAGAACGTGGAGTATTGCATCCGCAACGCAGCGTCATTGCGCTGTTATTCGATTCAATTGAAACATACGTGCTTATT